GTGGGGTGGTTGAGTCCGAGAGCCGGCCCGTGGTGGCGCATTGGTGCCAAAGGCAACACCAAATTGGGATGCATCCACTGCTTCCATGGGAGAGCGCCTGGGCGTGGTGGCTCTATCGTCATGTGCGGGAGAGCTCAAATAGCCATGACGATAACGAGAGTCGTGAGAGAGCGATTCGTGCACGGGCTCTCTCGGGAGCCGGGGTAGAGGGCGATTAGAGGCCAGGCCAAAAGCCACTTCGCCATCGCGGGCAGACGGGTGCGCCGCGGGCGAGGGAGCGAGCAAAGAAAAATCGGTCGCAAGGTCACGAGAAGGCGACTGGGTCTCGTGCGCGCGTAACGAACCATGTGAGCGGCCCCTGTCCGGGATGAGCCGAAGGGCAGCGTTTATCTCGCGTTCAAGCTCGGCAATCTGCGATTGGAGCTGATGTTGGGAGCCTAGAGAGTGCACTAGGGCTTGAAGGGTCCTGTGGACCTGGGCCACGGCGGCGTCATTGTTGCGGGGGGATCCAGGGCCCGCGGCGGCGGCTTTTTTTTTTTTTTTCTGACATCTTGGCGTGAACCACGTTGTCAGACAAAATCTGCAACCCCGCTCCTTGCGGCCCGCGTTTTGGCGGCGCCCTCGCTCCCACCGTGTCCGCTCGCTTGCTCGCTTGCTTGCCCCGTGGACATGGCCACTGAGTCCGGCGGCGAGGATTCTTGGACCCAGGTCCGCGGTGCTAAGCGCCCGAGTGCCGAATCACCTCCAAGCAAAATAAATAAATTAGGTGTTTGAACCTCAGAGCTGAAAGCAAAGCTGTGCAACCCCGACATCAAAATCACGACGGCACGCAGAACACCCCAAGAGAACAAGACAATTTCATCGGCTCCTATCATGCCAAGAAGTACAAGCGCGAAGAATCACGCACATAGAAACAAAAATCGTACAAAACGACCAAGTATAACCAGAGATACGGCCATTTCAAACACTAGACACATAAAAAGGCAGTCACACATATCACAACTACAAGCCATCACAGCACGAACATAAAAAACACCACGGCACGCTCACATCCAACAAGAGACAGTGTCGGGTTGAAAAGACAACCGATCACAGAAGAAAAAGACATCATACAAAGGACTTTACAAAAATTCAGCAAAAATACCACACAAATACAGTAAAAATCAAAGCAAAATTAAAACAAAAATACAAGTCAAGCCATGAAAAGATCACAACGAGAACCACCTAGGGAGCGACAGGTGCACACAGGGATCCCCACAGGCAGACACCGCCAAAGTGGCGCTGGATGTGGTCAGCGTTCATCTGATGGACCAGCGCCGCAAAGCGACCTTTCCACCGAGGAACAAAGGCCTCATCCAGCCCCGGCTGGTACACACCACGGGCCTCGGCGCAGCGGGCGAGCTGACCAAGCAGATCCACAAAGGAGGAGGCGAACCCACCGGTTGTCGTCATCGCCGCAGGGACGATCAGAGTTTTTCCATGGTTGAAACCGGTGTAGTAGTCGCGCTTCTCCTTTTCGGCTCGGCGAAGGGCAGCGCCCACCTTGATGCAGGCTTGCGAGGTGGTCGGGGGTTGGGCTGTGCGCACAGTCACGTCAATGCCCAGGTCGGGCAGAGCTGGGCTCAGTGCACCGCCGGGAACGAGGTCGCGGCAGTGCAGGTCGATGCGGCAGCTCTGAACATGGCGTTCTGGTATGCCTGCCGCAGGTTGGTGCACACTTGGCCATCAGGTCATATGCGCGTGAGCGTTGGACATCGATGCAGATGGTTTTGATGGGTTTTTTTGACCGGGCCACAAGCATGTAGAGCAGCCGCATCTTACTTGTTGCATGTTGGTAATTTAAATTTAGTATCTTAGGTCATTGTTTGATCTTCCCCTTTTGGTGGCAGGTTTCAAGTGTTTCGACGACTCCGAGTCAAGCTAACATGTGCAAACGCTCGAAACAGATTTTTTCTTTCTTCATCTGATGCATTTTCTTGTCTTGCTTCCGCGCTGCGGCACGACATGCCAAGTATGATGGCACAGCGTTTTGGTGCCCAGAGCGCTGCTCCGAAGCACATCAAATACGTCTGGTTGGTCGGTGTGATCACATGTGTCTTCCAACATCCGATGTCCTGATAGATTGTTCGATGAAATTCACATGTCAATTGACGCATTCGGTCGACATATCATTCACGGTGACTCATTACTTCTTGGACGTTCCTCGCTTGCGCTTTGGCACTGGCGTGTTGTTGCTACTTGTGCCTGTCTGGTTGAGCATAGTTTGTTGCATGGCCAGTTGCGCCTGTTGTAAGGCCTGTTGCATGTCCTGTGGCACTCTGTTGCATCTCTTTCATGGCAGCGAGTAAGTTGCGCATGTTATCCTCGACTGCTGCCTGTAAGTCCTTGGCGCTGCGAGACATCTCTTTTGCATAACGCTTCAAAAATGCTTGATGGCGATGCCTCCTTTTAGCTCTGCGACGATGCGCTTCCTCCTCACGGCGCACGCTCTCGATTGAAGCCAAGGTTGCTTCCTGTAAAACTTGCTGAAGGGTGTCATAGACAACCTGATCTTCGAAAAAACCTAAAGAAGAAAAACGTAAGGACCGAATGCGGCACCGATTAATCACAAGGTGCTTTTTCCTCTTGGTAACATACTTGAGCGGCGCTTTGCGCGGGGACGACGCTGCGCTCGCTTTCGGGGTCGTGAGGGAGGAGCATTGACGAACGAAGCGAGCACGTCATCGTCTACGTCGGAAAGATCGTATCCCTCGAAGAAGGCGAGGGCCTCGGCAGATATAGGTTTTGCCACAGCCTTTCCTTGAGCGACGTTGGCTCGGTAATCCTCGAGTTCGCGAACAGTCACGCCGAAATCAGCAGCCTTTTGCATGCGCCGCATCTGTTGCCATATCTTGACATTGTCAAGCTTAAAGCAACGTGCGTGAGAAGTGAAATGCGCAATAGATTTGTTGCTACATCTAATAATATTATAATACAGCTCGCAAGCCTCACCTTTCCCCAGATGGGAGCCGGCTGATGGCCCGATGCGTCATATTCAACTGGGTAATCTTCGGCAAACCAATCCAGCAGCTCGGCAAGGGTCCGATAGATTATGGTCAGCACGCGGTTTTTTGTGACACCTTTTTGTGGCATAATTGAGGACACGGCAGGAAGACTGCGCGTTCGTTGCAAATACAGATATGTAGTGGTGATCATCATTTCGGCATAATACAGAAGCTCGGACGCTTCAGCTTCTGACTGCCCCTCAGGTCCAGGCGTCGGTGGTGGCCCAAGAACATGACCTTCCAGTTCGGTGTAACAGGTGCGAAGAGACGCCAAATAGGGGCGCAAACTAGTGAATGCGACCCTTTGTGAGATATTTACTGGAATAAGAATGAGGGAAGGCAGGTCAAGCATTTCCTTACTTTCTAGCAAGGAGCATCAAGAAAGCTTGGGTTTGGAGGTGGCGCTGAGCAACAATGATCTCTTCATTGTCTGATTTGTCTTCCGTTGGCACATTACACACCAGCCCTGTGATGTTTCCTTGCAGCGCTCGGTCATCAGGTGGATAGCGAGCTTGACAAAGCGCCCGAAGGTTCTCCTCGCCTGACCTGTCCACCATTGGGCAACGTGAGACCCTCTTGTAAGCCAAGCAGACAGACACATCCATCGCCCCCCCACCCCCCCCACAGGAAAAAAGGCGGTCAGATTAACCTTGGCGAAAACGAATAGCGCGCCAATTGTTCTGCGGTGGTCGGATCCATTCCTCGAAGACGAGCATCGCCTGGTCCCAAAGGAATCGAGGTGCGAAGCTCTACATCGCCATCTGTTCGCACGGCCCACATGGCCAGCTTGCACACTCTTGCGATCTCGGAAATGTTGTATACAGCAGACATGAACGCGCTCTCCCGTCGAGGCCCTGCATCGCATGCCGTATCAGGGATACAGGTCTCGTCGGGGAATGGGAATATGGGGAAGCAGTCCTTCACACCAAGAGACGAGCACGTGAGGGAGCGGACAGCATCATCACCCAACCCTTTGATTAACGCAGGCGAACCTACTTCATCATCCATGTCATCTGCCTCGACGGGCAGCCCACCCGCCCTGCCATCATGAAGGCCTGTACTTTCCAAACCATTTTGACCCTGGAAGCCCAAGTGCCATCCTGCCGCGCCAGCTGCCATGCTGAGGTTGAGCGAGGCAGCAGAAGAAGAAAAAGAAAGTTTTTGGATCCGATCTTGCGCAAAAACCGTAACGGTCATTTTTACAACGACAGGCGTTTTGAACTAACATGTAAACTCATTTCTGTCTATCCTCCGTGTGTGTGTGTGTGTGTGTGTGTGTGTGTGACGTCGTACCACCTATGGGGGGGGTGTTTTAGCGAGCAAGCCCATGAGGAGTGATGCTGGATGTGTGCAAAAGCAGTAGGATTGCCCCAGTCCATGGTGAAAACAGTTGACGCCCGACCGCTTGTCTTCTTCATGTGGTGGCACGACAATGTCACTGTCTTTGACCATGTCAGTCAGGGTGACCCCGTTGAATGGCTGAGGCTGTGCATTTGAAAACCCAGGTCTGAATCAAAGAAGAGAAAAGCATCTCATAGGTCAGTCGGTTAATTGTGATGGTATATTATTATAAGCTGATGGGCATTCGAAGCGAGATGGGATTCGACAAAAAACTACACCGCGGCATCACGGACGTCAGCGCGCGCTTGCACTCACGACGGTGCGCGATTGAAACAGGTTGCAAACGCCTCATATTATTGTGGGATCAGCTTTGAATAATCGAAGCTAGTACAATCTGCCAGGTGACGCAGGTGTAGCCCAAGATTCCGTGGGCTTCTGTGGGAGGTAGAAGGCGGTCGATGGCAAAGAGCTCGTACACCAAGGCATAACGCCCGCTATACATGATGACGTGCTTCAGAGCATCGACTAGAAGCTCAGCTCCGATCTTTCAATGCATTCGGCCACAGTCGAAGTCAAAGTATTGAGTACAGGTTGATAAGAAAAGAAGCGTGAAAAGCAGGTCAATCAAGTGGTCCGAGTCGTCCCCACATACCGGTTCGTCGAGCATGCTGGCCACTTGTTGACTGATACGCTCGAGGAGGCTGGCAAAATTCTCAACCTTGGTTCGTGGTCCTCCTTGAATAGGCATGCGATGCAACTCGATGGCACAATCTGCAGTCGCGGCATCCAACTGTAGGTTGCCATTTGCATCTTTGAGACGAAAGGCCTCTGGCAACAAATCCTCCTGCGCAGCCAATGAAAAACCAAAAAATCAAAAACAAAACACACACACAAAAAAAAGGATGAAAACGATGATGAGAAAGAGGCTTTGGCCGCAAACGGCATGGCCGATGGGTTTTCATGGCCAACAAGACGCACTCGTCGCGCTGTGCTGGCACGATATGCAGCTGTGGCCTGATGAAAATGTTGCTCTTGCTCGAGCAACTGAGCTTCTGATGCCTTGCGAAGAACCCCCCAGACTGCGGATCGCGTGCATACGTAAGGGCCCATAAGTGAGTGGAGACAAACAAAACGGCACCCACCCACACACACACACACACACACACACACACAAAAAAAAAAAAAAAAAAAAAAAAAAAAAGAGCGAGAAGATGGCGGCTCAAACGTACTGGCATCGTCAAAGTAAACATCCTCGATTTGACGCTCGACAACGGACATGATGTCCACCGCATCGGCGTCCTCGTGGATCTTGTCGAGACCGTCCTCTCGTGCCAAAAGCTTGGCCCAGAAGCTACGGTGTTGGCGCACAGCCGCGGGATCGCATCCGGTTTGGGGCCGCAGAAAGTGGTAGGTCTTGAAAAATTGCTCGGCAAGAGCACGGGTACTCTTTTGACAGTAAGCCAGCAGGTCTTCAGGAGGTAACTTCTCTTGATTGAACAGTTGGTAAGTTTGGTATTGCGAGTGCTTGAGTGCACGTCGCAAGGGGTGATGCAAAGTTGTGAACGCTATCACGAGGCGCATAGGCCAGGCGGGCATCAGAATGAGGGATGACGATGAGCAGGGCGTGCTAGTCTCCCGGCAGCACCCAGGACTTACCGTGGCCCACTAGGCGTTTTGCATTGGCTTCATTTGGATCCTTTTCTGATGCCAAGAGCAATTCCGACACTTCCTACAAGGGGCAGCGACAAGGCAATGCAAGGATGAACGGTGAGAAGAGAGTAACGTACAATGTCAATGAGGGCAGAAAAAATAGTACCTGGCTGGCGGAATCAAACTTGATGACTAATTCGCGCAGCTGAGCCGATTCTTCGTCTGGGGCATCTTGCCTATCGTGTCCGGTGACAACGACATTTGCGTGTGAGTCATTATCAAACAGAGTTGTGGATCGTGGTTGGTCGAGACAGGGTCAAGTGGCGTCCCTTGCCGTACCGATAAACAAGGCTGCGCAGTCGCTGCTCACGGTCTGCTATGGCTCGTGCATTTGCATTCTATGGATCGAGTGGCCAAAGGTGGGCCGAATGGTGAGCCAACGACGATGCTTACAATGATCAAATGCAGGCATGGTGCAAGTACCTGTAGTTGGTGGGCTTTTTGTAGGTTTTCAAATTGTTGTCGAAGCAGCTAGGTGGAAGGTGAGACCGAGGTAAGACAAGGTCGACACGGCCAAAATGATTATTCAGCAGGGGGCGCGCATGAGTGGGGCGTTGCAGCACCGTACCAAGATAGCTTGCCGGTCGGAGCGGAGGAGCTCTGCGGCACGTGCATCCAGGGCTCGCTGGAGCTGCCTATTTTGTTGCTCGGCTTGGGAAAGGTAGTTTGGCATTTGGCCCGAGGCGGCACTGGGCGATACAGGGGGACGTGCTACAGGGCCAACTTGATGAACGCTGGGCGCGGGCGAGGACGCCGTGTCTGAGGAGCGGGGCGAGGCGGATGTTGGCGCTGCCGGGCTTTGGGCCGTGCCGGCACGTAGCGCCGTGGCATGGGTCTCATGCAAGAGCTGAGCCGTGGCTGCATCTGAACTGGGGGCGGATTTGAGTATCCGCCCGAGACGAGTGGCATGGGCCACAAGTTCGTTCAAGTCAGCATCCCGATCTAGTATGCAGACACATATGCCGGGATGAGGTGGAGCCGTGGCGGCTCGAGCAGATTAGTGTTCGCTTCCGCGTCAGGCCACACTGTCACTCACTTTGATGCAGCAACTGAAGACAGCCACGAAAAAAGCCGTCCAGCTCTCGCCGAGCTGCCTGTCGCGCACATGCCCCGCAGGTCCTGGATCAGCCCTGCAGTCGTTTCCCCAAACGACCTGACCATCATCCCTCCTTACAAACATCGTCAACCCAGCCCAACTCCGGTCCCATAGCTGCCACTGACCTCCGAATGGCTCATCTCGTTGACGCATCCACCGCACGCGTCACCCCTCTAAAGAGTGAGAGAGAAGAGAGAGAGAGAGACAGAAGAGAGAGAGAGGGAGAGTTTGAGAGAGAGAGTTTGAGAGAGAGAGAGACAGAGAGAGGGAGAGTTTGAGAGAGAGTTTGAGAGAGAGAGACAGAGAGTTGAGAGAAGAGGGAGAGTTTGAGAGAGAGTTTGAGAGAGAGAGACAGAGAGTTGAGAGAAGAGGAGAGAGAGAGTTTGAGAGAGAGAGAAAGAGAGAGAGAGACAGAGAGTTTGAGAGAGAGTTTGAGAGAGAGCGAGAAGGAGAGAGAAGAGGAGAGAAAGAAGGAGAGAGTTTGAAGGCCAAGAGCGCAAGAGAAAAGCGAAGAGAACATGACAGATCGACAGAGAGGAAAAACGTTGAAAACACCTGTTGATATCAATGTCATCAAATCTGGATGTGCGTGCATGCATGTAAAACGGCTGGAAAGTTGCATTGTTGTGTGTGCGTGTGGCGTAGTACATCACACAGCCCAAGCCCGCCCACCATCACCTGCGTTTTGTTGTGGACAACAACCACAGATGGCACTTTCAATGCCCCCGGCCCCCCACTTTTTTTTTTTCGGTTCTTTCTTGGGACAGACACATTAAAAGTACGTCACCAGCGTGAGCCAATCGCAGCGTTGATTTTCTTGATTTTCGGTGCCACGACCGGGCCTCTCATGGTGGTGCTTGGTCTTGGCAGCCATCTTTTGGCCAGAGCGCATGTACATGGTTTCCACAAACCTGCCCCGCTTTCCCTGTCGGCGGGATCGAATCGCGCACGCGCGACAAGGCCTCGAGGTCGAGGGCAAGGTCGTCCGATAGGGATCTCAAACTGAACCATGTTCAGCCTTGGCCGAGTGCCTTTGGCAAAGGTCTTAGGCTGCAGTCGCGGGCATTCGGCCTATCAAGCAGCCCTTCAGGGGTTCAGCTCGCTGCTACTGCTGCTGCTCTTTGTTGCGAGCATCAGCACGCCCACTGTTGTGGGCCAAGCGCCGGTGTGCGAGGATGTGAGCATTCATGCCGTCTTTCTCATTGATGGCGCCTACGGTGTCTCTAGCTCAGCGTTCACAGCACGAAAATCGCTCGTCGCTCGGTTGGCCGCCGCCGCCGACAACGCGCGGGGCAATGCCACGCGCTACGAGGCTTATGAATTCAGCAACTTTGTTTGTGCAGTCTCCACACAATGCACATCCGATCCCCTCCCTTCCAGTGATCAACTTGTGGATCAACTCGCCAGCATTGACCAGAGCTACGGTGGCATCAGTCGCTGGCAGCGAGCTGTGACCCGCGCGACCAATCACCTGACCGCTGCCACATCCAGTGCCCAGGATACCGGCCTTGAGCAGCACATTGTGCTGTTAGCGTCGACGCCCCCCCATGATCTGAACGCCACCCAGGCCGCTTTGCAGCTGGCCGTCGATGCCGACATTCAAGTTCACCTCCTTCTTCTAGATCCCTTGGATACGTCGGACGTTGCGTCCCTTCTCACCTTCAACCCCGTCCCCATTGCTGACGCTGCGACCGTCAATGCCACGTCCCTCGAGAGTTCTCTCTTTTGCAACGGTCTGCCTACCCTTGCTTGCGCCACCCACCCAGTTCAGTCCAGCTGCACACATTCCCTTTGCCCCTCGCTAATCCAATGCCATTCTCTTTTGCGTCTGGCACCATGTCATCGCTTGCTCCCACATGTAGAGATTACAACATGCATCGGGTTTGCCACAACAGCAGGGACATCATGTCAATGTCCCTATCAGTGCTACTCTTGCCTCATTTACGAGGATGACTCTGCGACATGCACCCAGTGCAAAAATGGTACTTGGTCGTCTGCCTTCTCTTGCTATAACGCCCCACTCGTCCCCATCACCACCGCATCGGCCTGTCATCTGTTGGCCATCCCTTCACAGCTTGACGCTGCCCGCTTGGTCTGCTAAACAATCCTCTTTCTCAAAATCTTATAATCTTCTTTGATTTGCACCGTCTGGTCTTGGTCTTGCGTAGGTCGCTACTTTTGGCAAGGAGCGTGCTACGATGACTGTCAAGAAGCCAGCAACACGCTGCGAAATTCGGGGGCTGGCAACTTTAATCGCTACTGCGAGCCTCATCCTGACTGTCCGGCAGGCACCTATCGCGTGTGTTTGGCGTTTCTTCATCCTCCCACTGTACTCAGTTGACCACCCTCAGGATGAATGCCACGTTTATTGCTTTTGAAACGCTAACCGATTCCTTTGCGTCTTGACTCCTCGCATTACGCAGGCGAATGCCACTGGCGACGCACAGGCTTGCTTGCCCCACACGGCATGCTCACCTAATACATACCAGCTGCGGCAACCAACCGCGACCTCGGATCGTATTTGCGTGCCCCTCGAGGACCTTTGCGGCTCCATCGAGGGTTGCGCATTTGATGACGGTGACAATGCCAATTATCGCGGCCAGATTAATAAGACATCGTCGGGCAAGACATGTTTGCCCTGGTCCTCTAGCGTTGCGCAAGCCAACCTCGTGACGCCGGAGCTCTACCCCAATGCCGACTTGCGTCACAACTACTGCCGCAACCCTGGTTTGTTGCGCCTGGCCTGACGACTTTGTCTAGCTCTCACTCCCATGCACCATGACACGAGCCATTCCTCTTTCTGCTCATGTCCCTTGCCACCGCGCCTGCAGACGGGGAGCGTACAGCTTGGTGCTTTGTCGAGGGCACGGCCAATGCCTTTGAGTTCTGCGGTGTCTGCTCGACCTACGTTGCAGCTCTTCCCACGGCCTCCTCAGATGTCGTGTGTGCTTCCTTCTCACCCTCGTGTTCTGGTTCAGAGTTGGAAATGCGCACCCCTACGCAGACCTCAGACCGCCTGTACGTGCTGACAAAAATGCTCAAGGCGCATCTTCCTTCTCCAGCAGATCATTCTTGATGCTAAGCTTCTTTGCTGCAGTTTCGTGGGTAGCTGATGCTTTTGCCATGCTTTTTTGATTTCATCATTTTCTCTGTTTACCTAGCTGCGTTGAGCCCAATTGTGCATCATTCCAGTATTTGGCTGCCAACTTGGCCTGCGTCAACACAAGCGCTGCCTGCGATAGCGACCAGATTGAGGAAGTCGCTCCAACGATTACTTCTGATCGGCAATGCACTGCTCTCAATGGTACGTGCAACTCGTACAGCTACACCCTCGACAAGGCAGTGGCGGGATGGCGTGCATGCTTGCCTCTTGATTGTGTGGCTGGGGAAAGGGAGCCAATTAGATCTACAGCAAAGTCAAACCACCCTCACTCATGATTCCACCTCCTACAGAGTGCAGCACGCAACAATTCGAGGTGGAGGCACCGACACCCTCCACAAACCGAGTTTGCGAAGCAATCTCCGTGTGTGATGAGACGACACAGTATCAAGTTCAGCCCCCGACTGCAACCTCTGATCGCACGTGCTTGTTGCTTCGTCCTGCCTGCAACAACAGCTGGGAATATCAACTGGCCGCCCCGACAGCCACCACCAACCGGATGTGCACCCCATATACTGTGTGCGGCCAGTCACGCTTTGAGATAGTGCCCGCATCTCCCACCACCGATCGCATCTGCGTGGCACTTCGCACGTGTAGCAATCATGAGTGGGAACTGTTGGCTCCCACGCCCACTTCAAATCGTGTTTGTCGAACTCAGATCAACTGCACCATGACCGAGTACGAAACCAGGGCCCCTACCCCTACGTCAGCGCGGCAATGTGCCAGCTGCAGTGTCTGCCCGGCTGTCGCTGATCTCTATGCTCGCACAGCTTGCAGTGCCACGGCTGATACTGTTTGCGCACGCTGCCAGACCTGCGCACCCACCGAGTTTGAAAACAGTACTTGCACTGGTGAACACGATCGGGTCTGTTTACCCGTCTCTAATTGCACAAAGGACACCTACGAAACCGCTGCGCCAACGACGACCACCGACCGTCAATGTACCCCCGTAACGGGCAAGTCTGTGCTGCATTAAGCACGCTTTGCCTTGCAAGTGTGCATGAACCTTCCAATCTCCCTCTAACCTGAACTCTCCTGCCATCAATCCGCAGACTGCCGGCTGTATCTGGAAACAGAAGCCGTGGCCCCGACCGCCTCTACCGACCAACAGTGCGTCAACGTGACCTGCGGTGACGGCGAATACCAAACTGCTCCTCCCACCCCAACTTCTGCCCAGTACGTAAAACAACATTGATCAATCGCTTGAGCCATGTTGGTGATCATTTTGTCTGACTTGCTTGTGATCACAACATGCAGAGCCTGCCGTGATGTTCAGCTGTGTAGCACAGCTTGTGTTGCACGCGTGGATGCCTATGGTCATGCCTGCCAATGCAGTGCAGAGTGCCATTCGTGCAATTTGCGCGGCGCAGCCTCCTTCTGCACCAAGTGCAAGGTCTGTTCATGGTATACCATGCATGCTGGAGACAACCTGGCATGCCTATGCACACGTTTCAGGCCCACAGGCCCCTTTCTCGTTTTGCTCTCATCAGGTTTTTTTCTTTCTTTTTTTTTTTTTCTTTTTTTTTTTTTTGGGGCATATCTCGTAGAACGGGCATTATTTATACGAGGGCCGATGTTACGATGATTGTAGCGCCTTTGAAGGGTACATCGAGCTTGGATCGGGCAATTTCAATCGGGAGTGCGTGCCCTACAATGAGTCCATTCCAATGTCCCAGTTTGAGGCACTCCAGACTGAGTTTCTACGGTCACCAGCAACAGCCACCTCTGATGCCATCTGCCAAGTGCACACGCCCTGCTTCATCAACTACTACGAGGCGTCTGCTCCAACCCCAACCACCGATCGCCAATGCAAGGTCGTGACTTCATGCAGTTCAAATCAGTACCAGCATGCTGCACCCACGAGCACCAGTGATCGCGACTGTCGCGACGTCAGCTCTTGTGTGGCCGGCCAAACATATGAGGTTATTCCGCCGCGCAGCACCGCAGATCGCCTGTGCGACAATTGCACTGTATGCCCAGCCAATCACTTTCAACGCCGAGCGTGTACGATCAATGCCGATGCGGAATGTGATGGGTGTCACACTTGTGGCAATGACGAGTTTGTGAGCAGCGCTTGCACGGCCACGTCAGATGCCCGCTGCACAACCTGTTCCTCTTGCGTGTTGGGAGAAACTTATCAGATTGAGGCGTGTAGACCCAACACGGATACCCAATGTACCCCCTGTTCGATCTGCCCCTCCGGCTATTATGCTGCACAAGCTTGCACGCTGCAAGCTGATACTGTGTGCCGGCCCATCACCAACTGCTCAGATAGCGAGTACGAGCTTGTCTCTGCCACCCCATCCTCCAACGCTGTGTGTGAGCGATTGACCACGTGTAGGCAAAGCTGCATGGGCAGTAGTTGCGGTTGTCCTGCCAACTGCCAAGCTTGCATTGTTGGCGAAGGGGAGGCATACTGTACCCTATGTCGAAACTCGCAGTATTTGTATCTGAGTTTGTGCTTCTCCAGTTGTGCCGTGGCCCCGGGTCATGTCGAGGTGGGCCAAGCCTTCTACGGCCGCCTTTGTGCCAACGTGAATGGGACCTCAACTTGGCAGCCTCCAGCTGTCGAATATGAGAGCGTTCAGGCAACGGCCACCTCCGACCGTGAGTGCCAAGCGGTTCGGGCCTCATGTCCTGAACAGGAAGTGGCCGCGCCCACCGCCAGCTCAGATCGCGTTTGCCTAACCGATACAACCACATCCACGGTTCCCACCACCACGACGACAACGTCTACCACGTCGACGACAATGACCACGTCTACAACAAGGACCACGTCTACAACAAGGACCACGTCTACAACAAGGACCACGTCTACAACAAGGACCACGTCGACGACAATGACTACGTCGACGACAGGGACTACGTCTACCATGCTCACAACTTCCATTGCGCCCACGCACACGACTGCAGCCTCGTCCACCACGTCCACGTCAAGCACAATCACGGCTCCTCTAACGACGTCTTCAACACCAGTGGACACACCGGAAACACCAATGACGACGTCTGTTACCGCGCCAACATCGACAGTAACACGGACCACATTCGCAACGACTCTAGCAACAACCACAGCTGCATCCACATCGGCATCAGCATCGACGGCGGTGCCACCTTCAAACCCAACGACTACAACCATGGCCACGTCCTTAGAACCGACCACCAGTCAACCTTCATCTACATCTGCAGTGGCGTCTGGTGCAACGACCACAGCCTTCACTTCAAGCACGCCGACATCCTCCAGTGGGCCCAGCAGCGTGTCTTCCTCTACTGAGGAAGTCACAACAACACTCGCAAGCACAACGACAGTCCCAGAGACGACTACAAACACGCAAGCAAGTCCCACAAGTACATCAAGCACAGCATCCTCTTCCATTTCCAGCACCTCAACCTCTGTTTGGGACAACACAACCATGCCCTCATCTCAATCAGAGTCGCCCAGCACGACATTTATCGTCACCAGCCAAGCTTCGTCGTCATCAAGCACCACCGCTTCAGGCACCACATCAATGAGCAATGCAACCACGACGATTGCTTCTTCAAAAACGCCTTTATCTACCTCACCGGCATCATCAAGCACAAACGCCTATACTGCTTCATCCACCAACCCGCGAGACTCGACCACCACGCAGACCCCGTCACCGAGCAGCACTTCTTTACCCACTAGTCCCACCGCTCAAATGACCTCTTCGTCTTCTGTCCCAGACAATAGTTCGACAAGCTTCTTTTCCACGTCGGGTGATGCATCAACAACATCGACCTCGACTATTGGGCAGAGTACCAGCCCTGCGTCCAACATCACTACTCTTGCGAGCACACCGCAGCAAGCCACCTCAACCCTTTCTCAGCCCACGACTCAACCAGAGACAGTTACTTTGCCCACTACTTCTGGTTCCAGTCATTCGACGACTCGTCGCTCAACATCAGGGGATTTGACAACACGTACAACGAGTGACACTGTGACGACTTCGACTGCATCTACCACGGTGCACGGGGACGATGGCTCGGGAACGCTTGAGTCAACCACTGTCTCGCATTCCTCAAGCACATCGACTGACACCTCAACTCCACAAATGTCATCCTCATCAACTCTAGCGGTTTCCACTTCGACGACTGCGTCATCATCAACCTCCTCAATGACGACCTCATCCCAAGTCACAACCGATGATGGCGGGTCGGGGGAGTTTAGCTCTACTCTCCGCCGCTCAACGACTACGGCGGTTACCACGACCCTGCCTTTGGAGACCACAAATTCAACAAGTGCATTGCCAACAACACCAATGGTTTTGCCCACCGCATTTGTTGACGGCATTGACGTTTCGTGGATGTTTCCCAACAACTACGAGGAGGTGAGGGCCTTAAGATCATGATGTGCTTTGCTTGGTGTGGTCAAGTCCTCCTTTGATTCTCATCGTTCCAGCCTTGACTGGCCTGTTCTGACTTTCACTTTTGCATTTGCACAGGTCGTTGGTGCAGATCCCTCGAGACTCATCTTGGAGCTGCAAGAATTTACGTACACCCTGCTAGGCAATGAGTTTGGCAGTCAAGTTGCCATTTTAGAAGTCGAGCCCGGGTCCATCATCGTCCGTGCATCGGTTGCTTCTTCGCAGGCGTTTCGTGTTCTTCGGTATGTGTCACCTCCCTCAAAGCCGCAATCTTCTCCGAGCTTCCCGGCTCAGCTGCATAAATGCTGATTGCTCGCGGTGTGGCTTCTTTTATAGCGATGCAGTCTTTCAGCACGCGTACACTCTGGTCGATTCTCGCGGCTTCATTCTCGCAGCCAGCCCGGCGACATTCAATCCAGCCATGCTCGAGTCTTCAAGCACTTCAACAACGACGTCCACATCTACATCGACCTCGACCTCTGTGTCTTCGACAAGCACGTCTACGTCTAGTTCCTTGTCTTCAAGCACTTCCACGAGTACGCAGACCTCCACGTCGACCTCGACTTCAACTGCGACTTCTTCTTCAACTGCAACCTCTTCTTCAACCTCAACCTCCACTTCAACGTCAGTCTCAACGTCCACATCTACATCAACCAGTGTGGTGCTCTGCGCTGACGATGAGTTTCAAGCTGCCAATGGAACTTGCCAGCAGTTGACCATATGTGACCAGCATCAATATCAAGAAAGTGCACCTTCACCCACCTCTGATCGCGTGTGTGTGCCATTGACCTTCTGCGATGGCATCTCGACGTATCAGGTAAAAGCAGCGACACCCAGCAGCGATCGCACTTGCGCTCTGGTTAGAGCTCCGTGTGATGGCATCATGACATTCGAGTCCCATGCCCCTTCCATCACCTCGGATCGTCAGTGCGAGGCTGTGTCACCATGCATCTACTTTATTGAGCAAAGCTCCCTCACCCTGTATTTTGGTCCAAACTTTGCCTCGGCTCTTGGCGCTCCATGGACGAGCTTGCGCTTGGAGGAAGCTGTGGCGAGTCTTGATCAAACCTTTAGTTTGCTTGGTATCGACGCAACGGGCATGGGTGATTTTGTTTTTCATCGTGGAGGTGCGGTGCAAGTTTACGGCTTGCCAGATGCGCTTGCGATGATTCAAACAGAAGTGTTACGCGGCAGCGTAGCAGTGACAGTCAACATGTCATCATTTGTCGCATCGTTGGAGCCAATGGCTACAACCACTGAAGCGCCCGGGACAAGCCGTGCCACGAATGACGACGACAACGACGACGACGATAGTTCAGGTTCATGGGTGACAAGTACTTTGATATCAACAGCTCCGACGTCAAAGACACCTTCATCCCAGTCATCAACACAAACGTCTACAATCATCTGGTCACCCAGCACAACCCGACAGGCCACGACCTCCGAAGCTATGACCACTGAGGCTATGAATACCGAGGCCACGACCATCGAGGCTACGACCACCGAGGCTAGCACCGCCGAGCCTACGACTACAGAAGCCACGACCACCGAGCCTACGACTACAGAAGCCACGACCACCAAAGCCACGACCACCGAAGCCACGACCACCAAAGCCACGACAACTGAGGCTACGACCATCGAGGCTACAACCACCGAGCCTACGACTTTAGAAGCCACGACCACGACCCCTGACGCCACGACCACCGGGGCTACAACCACCGGGGCTACAACCACCGAGGCTACAACCACCGAGGCTACAACCACCGAGGCTACAACCACCGAGGCTACAACCACCGAGGCCACGACCACCGGGGCTACAACCACCGAGGCTACAACCACCGAGGCTACGACCATCGAGGCTACAACCACCGAGCCTACGACTTTAGAAGCCACGAACACGACCCCTGACGCCACGACCACCGGGGCTACAACCACCGGGGCTACAACCACCGGGGCTACAACCACCGAGGCTACAACCACCGAGGCTACAACCACCGAGGCCACGACCACCGGGGCTACAACCACCGAGGCTACAACCACCGAGGCTACAACCACCGAGGCTACAACCACCGAGGCTACAACCACCGAGGCTACAACCACCGAGGCTACAACCACCGAGGCTACAACCACCGAGGCTACAACCACCGAGGCTACAACCACCGAGGCTACAACCACCGAGGCTACAACCACCGAGGCTACAACCACCGAGGCTACAACCACCGAGGCTACAACCACCGAGGCTACAACCACCGAGGCTACGACTTTAGAAGCCACGACCACGACCCCTGACGCCACGACTACCGAGGCTACAACCACCGAGGCTACAACCACCGAGGCTACAACCTACGAACCGACAAGAGCGTCTGAGGCCACGCTGAGCCCAAACTATGTACCGCCACCATTACCAACCACCCTTCCTACCGGCCTTAATGAACCTGGCGAGGGTTACACCGTTGCCTTTGTGGGGGCGTTGGATGGTATCGCAGAACCTGCCATCTTCAACATCTCAAGTATCAACATCATCAGTGAGCTTCCTGGAGTTGACTCAACTGAGTGCAGCTCCATTTGCGACAGCAACTTGGAATGCACGGGCTTCGTTGTCGCAAATATGGGTGGACAAATCATGTGTGCGGTTGTTCAGGTTGATCCCGATGCGCTTGGCCTCCCAACGACACTTCCGTCCATTTCTTACTTGCGTACAAGGGCCCGCGTTCGCCGAAACACCGCTCAACCCTCAAACTCCACAAACCAATATCAATTTTTGGCAGAGGCCGCAACACCCTTTGCGGATCAGGTGTGCCAGCTTGTCTCACCCGATTGCTCGCTGAGCGAATATGAGCTCAACGCACCGACGCATAGCTCCGACCGCGTCTGCAGGGCCGTATCTCTCTGCAACACCTCTCAGTTTGTCAGTCGCCAAGCTACCGCCTCATCTGATCGTAGCTGCACTGACTGCACAATGTGCACGCCCGGGGAATACGAGCAGCACGCCTGCACGTCGAGCGGTGATACCCAATGTGCTGCCCTCACGGTCTGTGATGAAACACTGGAGTACGTTCTGTTCAATGCCACCACGTCCACAGATCGCGTGTGCCAGCTCTTGACAGTGTGTGCTCTCAACGAACGGGAGCTATTGCCTCCGACGCTCTACAGCGACCGTGTTTGCTCAGGGCTGCCAACCTTTGAACCCTCCTTCCCGGTGCACCTCGAGGCTATGGGGGGCGCCTTACCTGAACTTGCATGGCGTTCAGATAGCGCGGTCAACGGAACAGTCAGCGTAATGGCTGTCGACGATGGTCAAGTCATCGTTGGAGTGGCTGGTGTACAAACCGCGTTTGAAATTGCTTTACCTGGTCACTTGCCAGCTTTAGCCAGCTTTCATGCCCCGCGTGCAAGACCCGCCTACGTTGAAGAGGTTGACCCCGTCCTATGGGTCGTCTTAGCTGATGCAGAGGGGGCACATACAATATCACAAGGTACCGCAATCACTGTGGAAGCGTGGTCTGAGCCTGGCAAACGACTGACCTCTGCCTCATGCATCGTCGAGTCTGCTTCACGGTGTCGCGTGACTTTGAGTTTTGGTGCAAGCGTTTCGGTACTGCCCCCTGGCGTCATTGCCACCTTAAACGTGACTGCCAGCTTTGGGGGTGTGGTGTTGGGAGCAACGGACCTGCTCGTGGCAAGGCATGCCTCCGTTGAGCTTCGGGGTGATGCGGCTGTGGCTTGGTTACCGCATCGCACCTTGTACCCGGGCGAGCTCGTGTCAATACCCATTACGCACGAGCTCCCTTTCAATCCGGCAGGCTATCGTTTGGTGGCGTCTGTGAACAGCTCAGACCTTGTGCTGACTTCCGTGACCGCCGATTCGGCGCGCTGGGTTGGCACCTTCACGTTGCAAGAATCAGTTGCAGCCATGGGGTACACATTGCGCCCGGACGCAACGGCAGGTGCCAACGAGGCGTTGCTTGCAACCCTTCATGCTCGGGTGGCTACAATCGTTCCGATTGATGCTACTATAGCCTTTTCTCTATCGCTTGTTGAATTGCTAGATGAGCAGCAGACCGCGCTCAATTTGGCAAATGGAGCTTGGACGACGGCCACACGCGGGCGTGTGCCAAATAGGCCTTTGCTGTTTCTGAGTGGCAGCGAGCAACCAGCTGCACTGGCCATTCAACAGCCTGCCTCACATGTGTTTGATCTCACGTCGATTGGAGGCGCCTTGCTGCAGCGTGGCGCTTTACAGCTTTGGGCATTATACCAAAACTCCAGCTGGGTGCTCTTGGATGCGTCGACCATCTCGTCAACGCCGTCCGAAAGCACAGGCTTGGAATGCACGTGGTGGGCAAGCGAAACTTTGCTCGCTTCTGGGTGCGAGGCTGCCGCTCTGGCTGGACTTTTGACCACGAGCACCATGGTTGAGTTTCGCGTGCGTGGGTCTAATGTTATGGCCAGTCACGCCATGGTGTGGGCTGTGGCCAGATCGTATGCGTTGCGTCTCTCGCGATCCGTAAGCCACCGCGTCGCCAATTGGGAAGCCGGGGCCACCTGCCAGCCTCGATTCCAAGCGGTTGAGCTCAGCGTGGTTGCAGAGTTTGAATCTCCGGCACGCATGGACCATTTGGATGTGACAGCCATGGTGCCGGCGGACATTGTGGCCGCCCAAGGCCCGGTCAATATGGTTGCGTCTCGCTCGTCTGAGCGTGGTGTGGGTCTCCGTTTCCAGCCCACCACGGCTGGCAACTACACCTTGACCATGGTGAATCCTGTCAGTGCCCAAATCGTCAGCCAGAACTCGCTGACCGTGTCTCTATCTGCAGCATACGTGGCGCAACTTGATGTTATGCCATTATCGGCGTTGACCCTGTCAGTACCCAGTGAAACCCCGGGATCGATCAGTCGATATGAGCTGCACATTCAACGCCTCGTCAATGCGCTGAAAACGACAACTGATCGTTTGACGCTGGCGGCCCAGGTGGTGTTTGAGGACAACACGACAGAGGTTGTGAGTGCCGTGGATGGGCTCACGTTTGATCTTCAGGATCCAGCAGTTCTGGTGCTTGAGAATGATAATCAAGTGCGCGCGATCGCCGCGGCCAACGGATCAGCTCCTGTAGTCACAGCTCAACTTCGTAATAGCTGTGACGCAACGCGCCTGCCTGCTCGCAATGTTAGCATCCCCGTCGCACTCTTGCGAGCTGCTAGGTTGTCAATCAATGCACTTGACCTTCCAGCTCGCTTGGCACCCGCCAATGGTGCTGCCGCCACCATCTTGCCCTCAACCGCCGTTCTTGAACCCCGTGTGACCCTCGAAGACGGCCAGGTTCTATCCTCAGCTGCTCTGGCCGGCTCACTGTCTGCATGGGTCGAGCCAGCGGCACGAGTCAGTGTGCAGGTTTTAAGTAACGGACGGGTTGCGATCGTGGGTCGTGCAGGCGGAGTTGCGAACATTACCCTCCGCTTCACGTCTTCCTTGCACGGGGAAGTCGAAGGACGATGGAGCGTGAATGTAGTGACCGGCACGGCGCTTACTGTGGCAGTTGGCACGTATGGGGAGGTGTTCAATCCCACAACCACCGCCGCCCTATACTTGGGCGCAAGCACTCCAACATATCAGCCCTTGACAGTGCGTTATTGGCTTAGCTTGAGCGACAACACCAACACAGAGCTCAGTCCAACTGTTGTGACTGCCTCTTTATCAACGACCTCTGGCTTGCCAGATGACGCACCTTCAGCCACGCTTCCCTCAAACGATCGCATTGTGCCTCAGACCGCTGGCTCGGTGATTTTATCCGCGGGCTTTTTTGACCTCAATGCCACCTCGCCAGAACTCTTTTTTGACCCCCGCAGCGGCGTGATGGTGACAAATATCACCAACTTGAATCTGCAGCCCCTCAATGGCGATGCGCAGGCCGTGGTAAGTTTGACGTTAACCGAGCTAATCGGTACTGCTGATCATGGAGCCTTTATCCCACAAGGCATCGTGCATTTCTCCGACGGCACGTATCGGGCAGATTTGCTGGCGAGCACCAGCTTTGAAGCGCCTGTTCCGGGCTTGCTGTCTTTTTCAAGCTTGGACTCGGACATCCTGTTTGTCGACACCTTAACCGGCGAGAGTGTCGTACGGCGTAACGGACGAGCAACGCTGGTGGTCTCAGCGCCCGGTGTCAACGGTGCAAGCGTCGACACAACTCTCCCATGTACCGTCAACCTTGCCCCTGCTGTTGGGGACGTGGACGCAGGTCTTGCTGACATCGAGGGGAGCAGCGTGATTGAAGCACAACCTGGCGATACGGTGCAGCTTGCGTTCTCTGCCAATGTGGGCGCGCAAGACCTTGGTGCCTTTGCTCTGAGCGTGCAGGTGCCTGTTGGGATGGCCGTTGTCAGAAGCGTGGATTCGCTTTATGCTGAAGGCCGCTTCTCCTCAAATGTCGGGGAATCTAGCGTCAGTGTGGCCGGCTTGCTCGAGGGCGCCGCCACGGGCAGTGCCGTGCCACTATTTACCATCACGCTCCAGCTGCTTGCGGTGCCGACAAATCCCCTTAACGTGGACATCCAGACGCTCAAGGATAAATCCGTGCCCGCCGCCACGATTGGTGCAACAACACCACGTGCCGCTGTGGCCGCCACGCCTGTCTTTGTCGCCCCTTCCAGCTCCAGTCGTCGACGCAGCCCGCGGGTATTGCGGAACAGCGAGGCTGTGGCTGTGGAGGAGCGAGTGCGGCGAGTTGAACCTGGCATGGAGGATCAATGCTCGCCTTTTGATGTCGATGGCGATTGCGTTTTTGATGTGGCCGACGCGCAGTTGACTTTGTTTTACGCTGTCGAGGCGCTCACCGAGTTTGCGTCACCGCGGGGCCAACAAATTCTGCAGCTACTGGCCAACAACAGCAATGCGGGTCGAGGCTTGGATGCCAACGGCGACGGCATGGTAACCATTCGGGACGTGGCGGCACAGCTCAATGCTCTTGCTGGACTCGGTCGCCTGGTCGAGGACGTCTACCGTACGGTTGGCCGGGCCGGGCCCGATTGTCTGGCTACGTTTGGTGTACGGCTCGCAGCGCTGGACGTGAGCCTTGGCGCTACGGCGCTGTTGTTTGATTTTCGCCGAGCTATCCCAGACCCGCAGGGCCTGCAGTCGACCGCCGCGTCCAATCCTACGCTGTTTGCAGGCTTGATAACTGCCCACGAGAGCGGGTTTGTCTGGGAAGGGCAGCGCTCCGACGAAGACGAGAACGAATTTACGGTCGCTGTTCCGGGATTTTTGCTCAATGAGAGCGCCTTTGCGCTTTCATACGTATTTATCAACCAACAGGCTGATGCTGCAGGTTCGCTTGTGGTGCAACTGCTCAGCGGGCCGGTGCGAGCCGGTGCTGAACAGACGCAACTCGAGTTCTCTTATAACTTAAGAACAACCACCCCGGTGAACGTGGTGTTGGGCAGTGACGCAGGTTACTACCCACATCAAATCTATGAAAACGGTGTCAACGTGACCAGCTGCAACCTGAATTGCGTCCCGGGGTTGGAATATGAGAATGTGACCCAGGCCCTGTGTCTGGGCCTCACGGCCTGTACTGCCTTGGAGTACCAGTCCATCGCACCGACTCCCACGAGCAATCGCGTCTGCACGAGAGCCACACAGTGCGAGGAGACAGAGTACCTAACGCGAGCTGCCTCCCCCACCAGCGACGCCACGTGTTCTCGGCTGACGGTGTGCAATGCGACGCACGCCTTTGAAGAAACATTAGCCACGCGAACGTCGGATCGTGTGTGTGCCTGGCTTACTACGTGCACGGAGGGCGAGTTTGAGGCTCGCTCTGCTACACCCACCTCAGATCGCATGTGCCAGAACGTAACCATGTGCGTGACAGGAGAGTACGAGGTTGTGGCACCCGGGGCCAGCAGCGATCGACAGTGCGTCAACCTGACGCAGTGCGCGCCTTTTGAGTATGCCGAGATGGCGCCCACTGTGACAACGGACCGCATCTGCGCCAACGCAACTGTGTGCGAGGCGGGTTCAACATACGAGGCACAAGCAGCCACGGCTACAAGCGATGCAGTATGCATTGCGGTAAGCACTTGCTCCGAAGGTGAGCACGAGGCCACAGCTCCAACTCTGACATCAGATCGAGAATGCGCTCCGGGCTCTGGTGATGCCTCTACGGGCTCGTCCGGCGCAGCTGGAATGAGCTTGATAGTCGGCCCAGTCGTGGCAGTTGCTGTTATCGTGCTGCTGGTGGTGTTGGTTGTCGTGCTGAGACGGCGCAAGCGTCGGCAACAAACGCACGACATCACCAACCCAGACGATGCAGGCATTCCCATGGCCCACACAGGGGGCAAATCCTACGATGCGACCTTTGATGAGCCGGCTTCCTTGGAAACATCCGTTGCTACGCGAGAGCCAGGACGCTATGGGCGCACCCGCAACTCTGTATCCTTTTCAGAGACGGAAACTCAGGTTCAGATTGACTACGACGCGGCGCCAGACACGGGCGTTGTTGGTGTGGAAGACGTGTCCCTGGGTGTAGGCCCCGAACACGTGGGCAGCCGCGTGTATGTGCTGGGCTATGGTTGGGGTACTCTACGATATTTTGGCCTGCATGCGACCAAGCCCGGTGCTCGGTGCGGTGTTGAGCTTGACACAGCAAACGGTTTGAACAATGGCACTGTTGATGGTTACTGGTATTTTGCCGCGGCCCCTCGGCACGGAATTTTGTGTGATCCACGAAAAGTCAAGTTCAACGAGGATCTACCTCCTCAGCCGTATGTAGCCCGGGTGGCACCCGAGGCCGTTGGCAGTCTGGACGTGGCCTCTGTGGCCAAGGGCAAGGATGTGCGGCAGGCCCAGCTCGATCACTTGACTGAGCAGCGAAAGGAGGCGGCCAATACGTATGACTCAATTTTCAGGGAGCGACAGGGTGGCTCGTTCAGCTCCAGCCGACGAAACTCGACAAAAAATCGGTTTGTCTCAATTTGCGAGTCTGTAATCCTAAACTGCACAGAACCCTCCCGTGGGGCTCTGCATCGGAAGCTCGTGTGCCCGTGTCGGTTTGCTGCATTTTTTTCATAAACGCACTCACATGTCAATCGAATTTCAATGCCGCCAACATCGATAGATATACGGATATTTTGGCTTACGATGATACCCGCGTCAAGTTGCGACGTGGCATCACTGGGTCAGACTACATCAACGCCAACTACGTGACGTTTCCCAACGAGGAGGCCCCTTTCTACTTTATCTGTGCTCAGGGACCCACCTCTCAGACGGTGGACGATCACTGGCAGCTGATTTGGGAAAACGATGTTCGAGTACGGCATGCCCCGGCCTCTTCCACGCCTTTTATTCACCCCAAGCCACCTAGTTGCTGCATGACACTGTTTCATTCTTATCTTATCTGCCTTGTTTTTACTCGCTAGGTGATCGTTATGGTGGCCAAGCTGCAGGAGGACGGTCGGAGCAAGTGCGCGCCGTAAGTTGGGTTTTCTTCTTACTTGCATCCCTTTCACCTTCTTGACCAATTGCTACCTGTTGTAAAGACACGCGCGCTTTCAATTCCAAATGTGGTTGAATTCATTGCACGCTTTTTGGGGGGGGTGGGCTTGTGGCGCAGGTACTGGCCCTCATCAGACCAAGGCGGCCTCAAGACTCCTAGTTTTGTCGTCGAGTTTGTATCGCAAACAAGCGACGACCCGTACGACCGAGTCATTTTGACGACAGAGTTGACGCTGATTCATCGTCTGACCAACGAGCGCCGGCATGTCACACACGTGCAATATTTGGGCTGGCCAGACCAGTACGTTTTATCACATCACCTTCCATGCATAATGCCACAGTTGCTCGACAAGCCGGCGGTGTTGCCCGGATTCAGGTCGAGGATGGAGCTCATCTCATTGCGTTTTTGCTGTGTTTGCTGTGATTTCTTTCCAACTACAGTGGCGTACCAGACGTTGATCGCTTTTTGGCGCTGATTGATCAAGTTGAGTCGTTGCGCGCCGCGCACCCTCGTAACATGTACACACTCGTGCATTGTTCAGCTGGCATCGGGCGTACTGGTGTGGTTGTGCAAACCATGGCCATGCTAGCCATCTTGAGACGCAAGGTGAGTAACATCTGTAGACGAAATTATGCAGAGTTTGCGAGCCAGACTCATGAAACGTCCGTTTATCATTCTCCACGCAGCGCATTCCTGAGGCAGCAGCCATTTTGCGGCACTTGCGCGAGCAACGCGCTCGATTGGTGCAAACACTTCAGCAATACGAATTCTGCTTTACGGCTGTTTTGGCCAAGCTCAAAGCCGCTGATTGGCGATACGAGCTGTAGAAGTTGACAGCACCATCGAATTGAAGGGAATCGTAGATTGTGATTATGGACAGTCCGCGTCACAAACCAAATAGCAGAAATCAAAAACAAAACACGAGAAAGGGAAAAAGGACATAAATCAAGCAGGAGAAAAAACACCAAATGGAGTAGCCACAAAGAAAACGTTAAGGCCGATGCATGGAGTGGAATTTGACGTCTCGATGGCTATGGAAGACTATGGCACTACTGACTGCAGCCACAAAACGTCAACAGACACCCATACATGGACAGTGTGCACGCGGTCATGCACACGACACATTATCAACAAGCACATCTCAGGCCGCTCGTGCCCAAGGCCGACAGATCTGCCTCGTTTCACACAAATGACACCTCAGCATCAACACTGTGGGCTGACCCACTGGAGACGCTTCGCACATAGGATATTTTGGTTTGCTCAGCCTCTGGCTCCTCGTCCACGTTCTGCACTCGAAGTTCCAGTCCTTCAAAGTCGGAACTATCGCGATCCAGCGCCACCTCCAATTCACCTGCATTGGCGGCCACAACCACGCGGTGCGAATCCAACGAAATGCCATGACGCACAAAAGCGTCTCGTAGTACTGCTTGCAGGTCCAGTCCCGGAAGAACCGAGACCTGTGACGAGGAGCCATTGGGGAACAACACCTGAAATAACCTCCGTTGTGGGGGGCGCAACGAGCTCCCGCCTGACGCAGATCGATCCCGAACGCGATTGCGTTCGCGCGCTGGCTCCTGCTCATCGTCATCTGTGTCCACGTCTGTGGTAAAGGGCGGTGTTCGGCTGGCGTCGCCAAGATCGTTCAGATGCTCCTGGCTTCCTGAGCCCGGTTCACCGGTGCTCTTGCCATCTTTGCCTTTACGGCCCCAAAAGGTCAGGCGTCGCATAATACGTGTGCTCCGACGCTCCTCGCGCGGACTGAGAGGCGGGGGTGCCGTGGGTAGTTCCGTTTCAAAAACTTCTTCCTTACCCTCATCAAGAGGTTCGACTTTCACACTACGCTTGCTCTCGCTCATGTCATTGGCACCATTTGGGTCCTGAAAAATGAGGAGTAAGGAGCGAGGAGCATCAGCACCACCACAGCTTGGGCAACAGCAAGCTTTCTTGTTTACTTTTTGTGTGTTTTTTTGTTGTTGCTTTTTTTGGT